TCTCCCCATACACAAATTCAATTATGACATGTATGTCCTTATATGAAGAGTGATGTTGCCATATGTGTCACCTATAAGGGGATATATTATTATCACATATATCCATCATCTGGATATATGAAGATATAAGTTCATAACATATATGAAATGCCAATAGTAAAATTTGTATATGTGCATATATTTAAAATATCTATGTGATGCATTTATGCCATATTTTTTTCTATGTAAAAATTATGTGTTAGCATTTGTCAACATTATATATCTACTTCATTTATGCAAATTTCTTGCACATTTCTAATTATTTTAAACATGTCTAATTTCACAAAATGGTTATATTAATGTAACATCTGTCTACAATATAAGCAAACATACATAAATATTTGCACAGGCTAGATCTAGACTGTATGTCAATACATGAAATTGTTCCAATTTCTAATAGGTTTCATATATCGATTTTTCATATCTGTACATATGAAATAAAAAACATATATTTTATATAAGGAAATTCAATATATGTAGCCTACATATATTATATTTGTGTATGCCTAAAAAAAGAGAGCGACTGTGGCTTTTTAAGGTGTATTCACCTCTGGAAGAGTCCAAATCCACTTTCTGCCTCTTCTTCCCTGGAGGATTTCATGTCTTTTCTGCATTTAGAAAGAAATTCTAATACACTTTGAGATGGTCCATTGATAACTCACATACAGAAATGTAATATATGACATATATATCCTTATATCAAGAATAATGTTGCCATATATGTCACATATAAGGGGATATATTATTATCACATATACGTACGTATACATCCTCTGGATATATGAAGATATAAGTTTATAACATATATATGATGTAAAATTTACATATATTAAAAATATCTATATGAATGAATTTTTATATAACATGTTGCGACCATATATTTTGACCTATATATATTTAATATATATATGTAAGTTTATTAAAACGAAAACATTAAATTATATATGATTTTATATATATATATATATATAATAATATATATATATACTACACACATCTATATATATCACACACACATATATATATATGTATATATATATTATATATTTACTAATTCCTTAATTAATTTTAAACATATCTATGTTCCCATTCTGGAAAATATAAGCATATACTGAGAGGCTTTGGGGTGGATATATATCTATGTAACGTATGTCTAAAATATAAGCATATAGGCCTTCATGAACACACATATTTGTATGGGCTACACATATATGTCAATATATGAAATAATTATAATATATAATTTTTACATATACTGTATGTTTGTATTTTATATGTAAATATATGTCATACTGTATATAGAAATTTAATATACATACTAATCTTTACAGAAGATGGCATTCTGTAACTGCTGAATACTACTGGGTGGAGTTCTGGCTGACAAGCATGTGTTATTCAACTGTTTTGTTAAGGCATCTTATGGTTTATTTCATTATTCTTCTTTTAATTCAATTTCTCTTACATTATCATTATCTTGTGGGGGAGTAATCACGCAGCTGCAGCTTTGAGTGGGTGGGTTAAAAAGGAAAGAAATGAGGAAAACATGTTTACGAATTATGGGTATGGCTGCCGTATCTTCAAATAATGTTTTCAACAAAAACACTTGTGGAAAAAAAAAAGAAGTTACCTGTTGGGGCTTTAACCATGAGGCCACCACCCTGGGCCTAATTTGATGACTCACTTGAATACACATTTGTATTTCGTATTAAAACTAACATAAGCTTTTTCATTCAACTATGGCACAGTAAATGTCTTTGTTTTGTTTTAATTTAGGCATTTCTTCCATCTTCTATAGTTTTGGTTTCAGAGCCTGCAGACTGAAGGCAGGAGAGACAAAGAAGATAAAAGTTGATGCATGGAGAGAAACTTGGTTCATCTCCCACTGCTGCAGAAACATCTCAGCAGGAGCATCTTTCTAACCTACATTTCAGTGCTTTAATGTCTAATACATCTGTAAGTGTGTAAGTGTGTAAAAGTAGCAAATCACTGCATGGATGCAGTATTTATAACTGCCATATGAACGGCATAGAAATATGGTACACATATTTATGTGTGGTTGGTGCTGAATGTACATGATTATTTATTTATTTTGTGGATTAAACATATCAAGAATATCAAATATTAGCCATACCATGATTTTTTCTGAATTAATGTTTCTCATTTGCTCATAACACATTCAACACATGCATGATGGAATAAAAATATAGCAGATTTCAAGTAAACACTCAGAGAAACCAAATCCTGCAAGGTTGGATGGTGGGTCCAGGTGGGCGGGGCTTGGGGCATGGCTGAGAGCAGTGACTGCTTTGTTGTGACATCACAAAGCTCAAGAAGTCCTGACAGCTGGTTTTAAGGCTCAGTTTCTGAATACAGGCTGTGTGCATTTCTCTGTGGACTGAGGCTTTGATACTTTCCCAGTGTTAATATAGAACCTAGACCTGATCTATAATCAAACAACACATGGACATCTGCCTTTATGGGAACTTTAAAGAAGTGCTTATTTTAACCCAAACCCTAACCCTAAACCAAACCAAGTACCTAAACTTAACCACACCATTCCACACGGTTAACCACGTGTTAATTATTGTTATCATGACAATGAAGTTCAGGTACGCCTGCTGTTGCTACGGTCCTAAATGGTCACGTTGTAAAAAGGACTGAAAACATGTGAACCCACAGCAGTTGTGTGATAAAATGTAGTTGCTAGCTTTGTACTGACTGAGTGACTAGCAACAGGGATGGCTCAGAGCAACAGGCAGTTAGTGAGTTATCCAAAAGGTGAACATCGTCTTCACACACCACAGGAAATACAGTCTGGTGGCTGCTAGTATGTAGCTTAGCTCTGTTGATTACCGGCTAAGTTACAAATAAATACAGTATAGTCAGAGGGCTGGTAGTCTGAAATTTTGATGTGCTGATTACGATCCAGATGACAAATCATGGTTTGCCATGGCAGACATTTTATGTTTGAATTTATGTTTAGATTTTGTCACTTCCTGTTTTATGTTGTAGTGGTTTCCTTGTGTCTCGATGTTTGTACTTCCTGTCTTTGTCCTGTTTCCCTGTTCAGCCTTCCCTGGGAGGTTTCTAGGGGAGGGAGTCCCCCGCAAGAAACGCAGGTCACGGAGACGCCGGTTCTCTAAGAAGCCACAGTCCCAGGTCTCCAGCTTCCAGCCCGAGTCACAGCCCGAGCTGCCTAGCTATCTGTTGTGTCAGGGGTCCCAGTTGACATCTCCCTTGTTCCTGAGTTGGTGGTGCTGGGCCACGTCTCATCTGTTGCTGCATCGTGGGCCCTGGCTGACGCAGCACCAGTTCCAGCGTTGGGGGTCCCGGTCAACATTACACCTGCTACTCGTGTTTGGCAGCCCAGCTAACTTCAGCTCCTGTTTTCCTATCGGCGGTCCAGCTGACTCCGGATTCTGGTTCCTAGTCAGTGGTCTGGCTGACACCTGCACCTCATGTCCAGTCTGTGGTCCAGCCGACACCTGCTCCTCGGGTCCAGTCCGCAGTCCGGCCGACGCCTGTTCCTGTTCCCCAGTCACGAACCCAGTCAACTCCTGGTCATCCTCTAGAGGGGCTCTGCCTGCGACGCCGTCCTCCTGCTCGCCCTCCAGAGAGACCCCGTCTTCGCCGCCATCCTTCTGCCCAACCTTCGGAGAGACCCAGTCTTCACCTTCGGCCTCCAGAACTTCTCCGTCTGTTTGCCCGACCTCCGGGTTGCCCCACTGAACTGCCCAGCCTGTCCGTAAGGCCCCCTGAGTTGCCCTGATTTGCCCCTTAGCATCAGTGGATGCTCTCCTGCTCTGCCCCTGTGGTCCCAGGCTCCTTCCCTTGCCTGGTTACTTTCCTTCCTGTTCCACTGGAGGAGCTGTCTATATAGTCTCTGTGCTTCCCTTTGTCTGAGTCGGTTCTTCTGTAATTGTCTTCGGACTGCTGTTGTTATCCCCTGTGATTCCTCGTGTCACCTAGCGCTTTTGGTTCCTGTTCATGTTCCTTGTGTGTTTTGTAAGTAGTCACTTTTCTGATATTAAATTAATTTCTTTCCACCTACTCCCTTGTGTTTTCGGCTACATTTTGGCCTAGCTTAACCACAAACTTGACAGTTAAGGCGGGGCAGACAATCACCGAACAGGGAAACAGGACAAAGACAGGAAGTACAAACATTGAGACACAAGGAAACCACTAAAAAATAAAATTTGAAGTGACAAAATCCAAACATAAACTCAAACATAAAATGTCTGCCATGGCAAACCATGACAAAATTGAGATAACAAGCTAACAAGTGACTGATGAATTATGTAATTCATCAAAGGAGCTGATAAATGAAAGAAAGCAATTAGGATGTGTCTGGCAATAAATGTAAGTACATCTGGTCTCTTGGGTAGGATTCAACAGCCAAGACAAAAATAATAATACTAGGTTTGGTACACTGGTCTTGTTTCATGGAAATCAAATTTTTGATTTTCATGCCAAAGAATTTACTTTTTGTTAAAGACAGAGTCTCACTTTAAAACTTGCTGCTCAGAACCAGGGTTTCTCTTTCTCCACCAGTAACCTCCAGACATGATTAAAGCATTTTAAAATCAAGTAATCCAGCATCTCAGCATGATTCAGTGGTTAATCTGTTGCTCGTCGGGTTTGAAAACGTGTTCCTTTTACTACCGGCTGATGCCACAAAAACTCAGTGACTTTTTCTCAGTGATGCTGAATCACAGCCTCAACCAGAGCTCTTCCCCTCCTCGTGATGTCACAGCCGTAACAGCCGCCTGCCTCCTAAAGCCGGCAGCAGGGGGGAGAAGTCAGTCACTGTACTGGGCTTCCCGCTGCAGAGCTGCACTCTGAATCCTCCCTGAGCGTTGGTTTCAGACAGACAGAAGAGAAGAAGCAGTAGAGGACAAACTACTCCTGGAAAAATATTAACAGAATTAAAATAATAATAATAATAAAAAAAATTCTCCTGAATGGCTCTGGTGCATGGGACCTGCAGCAGAAACATGGAGAGGTCAGACCACGATATGAAAGGAAAGTCCAAGAGGAAGAGGAGGAGGAGGTGTAAAGGCAAAGGTTAGTAAAACAGGCGTGTCTGGTGAAGTTTATGTGGGGAATGCAACACCAATTCTCATGTTAATGTGAAGGGTTTACAGTGACTTTCTTATCATATTGTTTTTTAAAGATGGTTCACATTAAATTATCCTCTGAGACTTTTTTGTACTTTATGGCATTTTTTAAATAATGGAACTATAATATTCTTAAACAGGCTTAGTTTTGCTGTGACATTAGGTTTTGGCTACATTATATTACATCACAAAAATTGATTTGGCTCATGATTTATTATTCTTTTCAAAGTAACTTAACAATATTTATTCAGTGCGTTCAGGAAATGAGTTTAACAAATTAGTGCAATCGTCTTGAAGTAATTTTTATAGTGTGTTTATAGTAACTTTAATACACTTGATGGTTTAACCTTAACCATATGTTTATTATTGTAACCATGATGACGAACGTCCTCTAACCTTAACAAATTGATTGTATTAATCCAAACCTTGCTCTTTCTCTAAACCTAACCAAGTTGTTTTTGTGCCTATAACCAAACAAACCTTTACCATAGCATTGTCACATCACGAAAGGTTTAGTTATTCATTATTCACCAGTGACTGTAAACTTTTTACCTGTGGCATATCTACAGCTACTTCAGGAAATGCTCCAATGAGTTGTATCAGAGGGACAGGAACAAACAACCAATATGGTCGTTTAGGTTTTGTTGGACTCATTGGTGTCTGCTATCAGATCAGTTTTCAATGCCATGCCAGTCAACGATATCTAGTATTGCCATAATTTTCAGATATGCCAGGTATTAGAATAAGTACTGGGAGAAATAAATTCATATGACACGTTCAATCCTTGTACTAATGAATTTTATCATTTGTTTGGCAGGTATTTAATGATAAAGCAACTACTGGACAAACTGTAGTATTGACCTGATGATGGTCAGAGAGTTTAGTTAAAATAACCAGAGTTATTACACGTCATAAACACAAATGTCCTCAAATGTCAGATATTTCAGTCTGTACCAAAGTGGCTGACACTGCAGATTCCTGCTGCTGCAATGGATAACAATGGGAGAAACCTCAGGCAGCAGTAGCGCAATTGTAATATTCAACAAGCAGTGACTACTATACTATAATAACATAAATCTAAGGTAAGAGAATTACAATATATTTAACTCAGGTATTCATATGAAGAGAAAGCAACCATAAGGGAATGTACTTTGCACCCAGAGATAAATGTTGGTCTTATCCTCAAAGCCCCTGGTTGATGCTTCTGGAGGAAAGTCACAATAATGTCTGTGTAGATTTGTATCGGCTCATATTTCACGCACGCTGTGTTCAGACAAAGCAACACGAGTAGATCAGAGGCTCAAGTGGTGGAACAAAAGTCTGAAAACACAGTACGCGTCCCTCTCTATTTACTCTGTATTACTTATGTGCATAAATGTAATGATGCGACCGCTGGCAATCATAATTACAGTCGTCTGGGCAACAGGTCAGCATTTTAGGATTAAACTGGTATTGTTCTCCACATGCTAATCCTGAGTAAATGCGGCAGATTACTCTGTGATGGCTTTTATATTAAGTCCAATGGTTATTCAAAGTGCGCTAAGCCTATTCTACTTTCATTAATGACCCATTGGCCTTTTTTTTTTTTTTTTTTTTGTGCATCAATGCCGGAGTAAGAGTGTATCCTCTCTGAACAAAAATAAATGCTTCCAGAAAATCATTACTCAACATCGCTCCTTAAATCCCACTATTTTAGGGCCAGGATGCACTTAGCTAATGCTTCCATTGTATCTGGCGATGAGCGCTACTTTCACACCAGCTGTCATTTTAGAAACAGAAGGCGGCATCTTTTTCTTAAATGTTTACAATACAGTTCTGTGTGAGTGCTGTATACTCCCTATTTATCCAACAGTAAAACAACAATGTTCAAGTTTTTCTTTTGCTTTGGGAGGTTGAGTTTTAACTCCACCTGCATGAATGCAATTATTCAATTATTTGTGCAGAAATAGTGAGAAAAAAAGACGCGTTTGAGTTTTTTCTGTCAAGTTACATAAAGATATTCAATTTAATTTAATTATTTCATCTCGTATTGGGCCTTAGAGATCCTCCATTAGTGGAGGAGCAGTTTGGCTGGTTGTGAGATCATTTCCTTTATGCAACCCTCCAGCAACAGTTACCTTAAAGGAACAGTTCAACATTTTGGAAAGTAGACTAAAATAATCCCTTTGCCTATCAACCTCTGAGAGGAGATGTGAAAATTGCTGTTATTCTCATGTCTGTGTGTTAAATACACAACTGGAGCTGGATGGTGAATTGCCTAGCTTAGCATAAATACTGGAAACATGGGGAGAATGGCTAACCTGATCAAGAAACTAGTCATGACTCCAGTTTTTCTGTTTGTATACAGATTATTATTATTCTCCCGCCCCCCTGCTCTCAGTCTTTGTGCTAAGCTAGGCTTGGCTAAACTAGAGTTTGTTATTGATCTTCTCATCTAAGGCTTGGAAAAGATGTGAAAATAAGGAGAACCGGTATTTCCCAAAATTTGCCAAAAGGGTTCAATAATCAAGGGAAAAGGTTCAGCAGTGGAATGATATTGGTTATGATGAAAGTAAAGTTAAGCAAAGTAAAGGTCAGATATGAGTGCATGAGCATTGATTTGATCATTTCTCTTTGCATAGCCTCTCTGGATATTGCAAAATGTAACATGGATACAGATAATTTGCGCAGTCCGAGACAGAAAGAACATTCTTAATAATTTACACTGGAAAATAACTCAACCTGAGTCTGAAGCTTTATACAAGAAAATGACTGAGGTAGCAGAACACTAAGTTACACAGCAACATAAAATGGGGTTAAATTTGGTTGAAAATTGAAAGTTTTCTAGTTGTCTATGTTAAATACAACAACATTTCAATGACTATGTTTCAGTGTGAAGCAGGTCTTAATCTATATTGAAACAAAATTGTAGAAATACTGCTGCTCACTTGGAAAACGCTGAATGAGGTTGAAATAGAAACAAATCCAAATCAAGAACTTTCTAGATCTAAATAGTGAGAAACCTTATTTTAGCTCCTTTTTTACAGAAAACTCAAATTCTCTCTCCCTCTTAGGAATTATTGGACAGTCTATTGAGTACATAATGAAATTATGCTGTTAATAAGGATTTTTTTCCCTCTGTGCACAGATGACAGGATGAAGTTGTTTGTGGGTTTTTCAGTAAAAATAAATGACCATTTTGCTATAAAATCCCCTTCTGCTGGCTTTTCAGTCAAATTAACAAACTGTCATTTGTTGGCTGTAACGTCTATTCAGAGAAATGATTTGATTGTCCTGCTTTTAGCGAGGATTATGATTCTGCAGCATGGAACAGACAGCTGCTGTCTGTGATGAGTCTGTCAGTAGTTTTCTGATGACGTGTCACGCGTTTGGACATATCTGTGTATTGGATGCATTTTGGATAAGTGAGCTCCATCGTGCAGTCAAACTTAGTGGGGCATGTCAGTGTGCAATTTCACTGATGGATTCGGCAATCTCCACACTTCTCTGGGGCTCTGGCTTCATGAAAACATTAGCAATATGGTTTGTGTGCCCATTTAACTTAATTGCAGCGATGCTCAGCGGGTAAAGTGTGGTACTAACTCTGCACGGGTTAGGGGTCCCATTTCTTCTGAAGCTCAGTGTGAAGGGAACTGCTGCTAACACGGACAAGGTTTGAGCTTCAATCCACACTGGGGCTGAATATTATGGAGGACCAGGGATGTCACAGGAAAAGTAATTAAGCATTTCCTTAATTTCATATTTTAATAAGCATTAAAAATAGGAATTGTAAAAAATTTTTATAAATGAACGATTAATCCATCATTAAACACTTCAGATTTAAAAATGGATTTACAAAAACTGCATAAAACTCTCATTAAATAAACCATTTATAAATACATTTATTAATTCATGAATAAATAATAGAATTTGAAAAGACATTTCAAAAATGGGAATACATTCCTGGATTTCTTCCTCAATTCCTATTTCCTTTTTCCAGCTGCTTTTCCTTTTCCTGTTAGCTTATTGATTAGCTTGGTCAGTTAGCCTTTCTGTGAAACTCTGAGCCAGTGCTGGTAAAAACCAGGCTCAACAACTTGGCCATGGGATGTAACAAGCTCTTTGATTGGTTGGATAGCTAACCAGTCATCTCAAAAAATATTGACAAAAAAACTAATAATTGCTGGATCTTATACTTGGAGGATGCTCTGAATTTAATAACAGTTCCCATAATGCTTTGTGAGATGTAAACAGGAAGTATGTTGGCATGGATACAGTGAGTTAAACTAGAGTCCTGTTTTTTTTATTATTTTTTCTTTACATTTTGACCAACTGACCATTAAAAGTGTGTCGAATTAACTATTAGTAGTTGTAGTCTGTTCTCTCCACGCAGGAAAGAAAATGATGTTTGACATGGATCTGTGGTGAAATAACAAACACTCAGGTGCAACAATTACAGAAAAAGACAATAAATGAATCAAAGTTTGCAAATAGAGCATATACTTGCAAATGTGCTTGATTGCAGTTTTCTAATCACCCAGTTGCCGGCTCATGATTAACCCATGATTTCTGCATGTGTATAATGTCTGTGGGTTCAGATTTGACCGAGTTATGACTCAGAGAAGAAGGGTGATGGTTCACCCCAAATTGAATTTCAATAGCTAGCTAACATAAGCCAACATTTGTTTATGGACCTGATTGACGACAGCAGCAGCTTTGACACTGTTGCATTAAGAGTTATTTTTTGAGTTTAGTTTCAGCAGCTGAAGCTTAGCTGCCTGCTAACTTTAGCTTTGACTAGAATAATTTCTTACTACTATGGTTACTTTGTTTATAAAGCATAAAATTACAGGTAAGATGTGTGAAAGATTAGCAGAACCACATCTTTTCCTTACCTGCCATGTCTGTTGTGACGTAAGAAATGTACTGTGCATGTGTTGGGTTTTCTACTGTTGTCATTTTGTTCTG